TGACTGTGCCCATTAGTAGGGGCCCAAACACAGCGTGGCCGGCAGAAGAGCCGGACGGGAAGGAGGGGCCGCAGCAGCAATGCTGAGGGAGCCAGGAGGTGTCACTGGACGGGACAGTGTGACGGTGCGCAGCCAGGAGAGCTCTGGAGGCGTCTGAAACGAGCCAGCAGCCCCTCTCACACCCGCCCTCCTCAGTCCCCCTTCAGGGCACCTGCGCGGCCCGCATGCCTGCCGCACGTCCCGCAGGAGAGAGCTCCCTGCAGGCAGAGATCACGTCACTGTTTCAAACAGCTGCCGTGGAATGTCCCCTGCCCCCTGCGGGCGTTGTCCTCCTTCACCTTGGACCCGGCACGAGGCTCAGCGAGCGTGACCGGGAGAATTCGCTCACCGGAGGGGCTCCGCCCCTTCCTGCCACTGCCGACCATGCTGCGTGCAGCCTCGGGACTCGCTCTCACCCCCGAGGCCGTGGAAGGAAAAAAACCTCGACACCTTGGGGCGGATGTGGCAGAGCCATTTGATACATTTCTGGGTATCTCGTGGTTCAAGGCTAACGCAGCCCAGTTGGTCAAATATTTTGGTTATTTAAGAGTTACGTCCATGGGGGGAATATCAGTTAGAAATAAACTCAGTAACCGAACAAATGCACATCACTCCTTGATGACTGCGGAGCCACGCATCACTGCGTGGTGCTGTGCTGGCTCTTCGCTGGGGCCAGAGCTGGGATCCATCAATGCCGTCCCTCCTGCTGACGTTGATCTTTCATCGTCAATTAGTGATTCAGAATTACAAGGAGACCCCCAGGCTACCATCAGTCATTTTCACAAGTCGTTAGGGGAGAAGAAAAGACCCTGTCGCCCATGAAGGTTGTTTGCGAAAGCATCGAAAATGAATTGACTACACGAACATGAAAGAACCACTTCGGAGGGATAGTGAGCAGCCCTTAAAGGGGGGTCTGCAAGCCCAGGAATCCGCCCGCTGACTGGGGGCGGGGCGGGGGGGGTCAGGCAGCAGGGCACTCGGCCCCGGCCGGGCCTCACTGGATCCCGGCTGCCACTGCCCGCCCGCCTAGGATGGACATCTAAGTGGTCTCAGCCACTTGCAGCCGGAGCCCACGTGGGCTGGGCGGAGGTCACAGGACCACAGTCCAGGTGCTAGGACGGGGGGGTTGGGCTGGGGGCAGGGAGAGTCTGGCCTCCTGAACTCCGTTAGCAAGAACATGGGCTCTGTCTCTTGTCAGCCTTATCACGCACTGGGGGCGCCAAAAAAAGCACGACCATCGTGTAGACTGGGTGACTTTGAAACACACTCGAATGATATTGTCTGTCATCATACCTCACGGTAAAACATAAACCTAGAAAAATATAATGCAATAGGATAAAAACACATACAGATAAAGGCATGGCAAGTTGAACCCCCCCCCGGCCCCGCCGCCCAAGATACCCACATTCTAACCCTCAAACCTCCTGCACGGGCTGTGTCCAGGGCCAAGGGGACTGGGCACACGTGACTGTGTTAAGGACCTTGAGATGGGTTCCATGTGATCCTCATCACAGGAACAAGGGTCCTCATCACAGGGGCGGAGGGACCCACGTCAGGACAAGGCGCTGTGACTGAGGGGTCACAGCGGAGGAGCGCAGGCAGCCCTTAAATTACTCAGGAAACCACTGAAACTAACAACGAAGCTGATCATTAAAAGAAATACAATCTTTTTAAAGCAGTATTTTTTTCGTTCTTCGTAGTTTAAAAACAAGGTTCTGTTTCATACGCTGTTTTGAGGGAAGATGAAGTCTTCTCATTCTATAATAAAATTTTTCCCTTTCTTCCTCCTAGGCAGTCACTAAAAATCGTTTCTATCCATAAGAATTCCTAGTCACGTGATGACATCCAGGGGCTTCCCGACCCTCCCAGGGTCCCTCTTGAATAGAAACTTGTGATTCTGACTTTTTGTCGTTGTCGTTGTTTTATCCAGCACGACATCAGCGGACGCTATGAAAATCCACGAAGACTCCTCTCTGGAGGCCAGCCCCTCCCCTCCTGAGCCCACGTGCCCTGGCCACAGGTGAGGGCGCTGCATGGCCCTGGCCCACCTGCAGGTGAGTTTAGGGTAAACTTTTCAATACTTAATCTTCTCTCTTCAATGAAGTGTCCCTTGAGGGTTTAGTTCTTCAAAAGTAATTTGAAAATGAAATACAATAAACTATCATATTCTGTTACATAGAGATAAAGAAAGGTGTATCAGTGATAGATGTGCTGTATACAACGAAAACGAAATTTAGCACTTTTAAAAGGAGAACAAGTTGACAGGACGTAGTCTTTACATTAATGAGTCTGTTTTGTGTGAAAACCAACGCTGGCTTTTGCGTTACCCTTTCCCTAACGGGTGGGTGAGACGGGTGAGTTTTTGCTGCAGTCACTGAGTTTAATGATTCCATCTCCTCTTCTTTCAAAGACGGACTGGACACCTGATTCAAAGAAAAATTTGATTTTACATTTGATTGACCAAGTTACATGAAACTCATTGAGTGAGTGAGTAGCTTTAAAGAGTCAAAGTCGAGTGTCATCCTCCCAAAACTGTAAGATTTTTAAAATACCTAATCACATCATTGATAAAAGTTACAGCTTACAAAGAATACAACAGTTATTCTTACTTTTTGGAGCAAGACTCCACTCAGGTAGTGTTTTGACTTTTAGTGTATCTTGGAGGTAACAGTTTAGCTCTCATGGGATTATTAGACATTGATATGTTTTAATGCAGTGTCGATGATTACTTTCCCTGGTGGTAAAGCTAACGATTTATATTGTCATGTGATTCAAGAGACCTGAGTTTCCTAGAATTAGGAGCAACCTCTGGGCATGCTGATTCTTGCTCCCCAGAGTTGAGACTTACTCTTGTTCCAGGATCCAGTAATTGGGATCCTGGGGGTGGGGGTGGAGCAGGCAGTATACACTGCGAGCATCAGTCCACTGTGGGGGCGAGGCCCGGACCTGGGCTTTGCTGCGCACGCCCTGTGTGTCGGGTGCACCCAGAAGTAGGCTCGGGTGCAAAGGGCCTCTACTTTTCAGCATTGCCTGCCAGCATCTTGATCCTGGGCCCCCAGCCCCTGGCACTGTGAGACAATACCTTTCTGCTGGGTGAGCCCCCCATCTGTGGTGTTTTGTGACCGCAGCCCTTGCACACATATACGCTGGGGACTTGTGAGAAGTTTCTATCAGGGTCACTATCAGTCAATACACTGAGATGACACGTTAGGTTGAGAGTGTTCTGGACAAATATGGGTTAATAGTTAAACTCACGCTAAGCTCTAGGCCAGCCTGCCCCATGGAGGAGAGGAGGGGAGAGAGACAGCAGGAGGCATTCCAGACTAAGGGAAATATGGAGCATCAAACAAAATAACCGGAGTACCGTTAAGACCCAACCTAACGAAGCTGGTGCTTTCAGAAGCCAGCTCTGGAGGCGGGTGGCAGAGGGACAGCTCGGTGTGGCGGGAGAGACTAAAGCAGGAGGTGACGACAGCCTGCCTGAATGAAGGGCGTAGCAGTGGGGGCGGTGGGAGGTGACAGATACGAGGACGGTGATGGAAATAGAACTAACCGACGGGACCTGGTCACAGCATATATGTAGGGACCAGGGAGAGGCCAGTAGCACAAGTTCAGGTTTGCAGGGCTCAGTCCATGGAGCTGCCTTGGACTGTGGCAGGGAATGAGGGGAAAGATGAGGGCTGGGACTTACAGGTCCTCCCCAAACAGGTGGCGGTGGCCCTGGGCATGTGACTTTAAGGGTCCGACCCTACACGATGGACCATAACGAAGCCAGAGTGGAGTAAAATTAGAATTGGAAGTATCGTTAAAAGTGGAATAACTCTGCAGCTCTTCTTTGAACAGATCAGTTCATTGAAATCATCAGTAAAATTGTGTCCCAGCTCAGATGGTATTACTCAAAACCACCTTGAGCCAGGAAAGATAACGCTTCGCGCCCTGTAGTGCTGTTCATCTGCAAACACGAGAACCCTCCCTCCCCGAGCGGCAGGCTTCCCGCACCCGGGCAACTGCGGCCACATCCTGTCTGGGACGTCGGGGCGGCAGGGAGGGCGGCTCGGCCATCAGCCCTGAAAGCACTTGTTCACTCCTTCTTAGAGAACCCGTCCCTCGTGAGATCTTCCCTTTTTCTCGGCTGATCAGCTCGTCAGTCACTTTATCACCTGGAGTCTTTGATTTACTCAATAAAGAGACGTGGTGAGTCTGCCCGTGCCCCCTACCCTGGAAGGCACTGACCGCGTGTCTGGGGGAAACGGGGTTAGAGACGTGACTGTCATCCTCTGGTCACTTGGCGTCTGATGAGGGAACCAGTGAGAGAACAGACGGTTTCAGAGAGCGTGCTGATCGCCTTTCTAGTCCACGTTGTAAAGAACAGGCTTATCAGCTCTCTCACTTCTTAGTGGGAGGACGGTGGCCCTGTCTAAAGTGGGTTAACTGAGAAACGACAATATGGGTATCATTTAAAGATAGGGAGCTACCGCTACAAGGGCTAAAAATAGAAGAAGTCCCAAGTGATAGCCCGGGAAAGGAACCGGCGGTGGCCAGAGTCCCACACGAGGGACGACGGCCAAGGCCACAGGCTGTGCTGGCAGCCTGCTGGGAGGTGCACCGAGGAGGCCAAGGACGGTAGCAGAGCGTTGAAGAAAGGGTCACTGTGGGGATGCTGGCGTGTGAGAAAAGCTAGTGAGGGACAGGGAAGGTCAGCTGAGGGAGCTGGAGGACATCCCAGGATCCACGGGAGGAGAGAGTTCCAGAGAAACGGGAGAGGCTGACAGTGTTCAGTGCAGGCACGGGCCTCAGGAAAACAAGCGCTGTGGTGGGAGGGGGGGGGGGGTTGACTCCTTCTCTGTCTCTGGGAATGTTTTCCCACGTGCAGAGGAGCCTGAGGCCCCCCGACACAGGCCCCTACAGGGTTTAAGGGGGCTAGCAGACTCGGGTGCAGAGGAGAATGGGGAGATGCAGACTCGGAGTAAAGACAGTGGGGTCTGGAATGGGGTGAAAAGCAGGCTGCGGCTGCCGGGAAGGCTGACCACCGAGAGCTGGACGTTGCTATCTGACCCCTGCCCCGGAAGGCCTCATCCAGGCGTGCGGATGGGAAGCACGAGAGGCCTCAGACTGTGAGTCACGATGATTGGCCGTGGAATGTGGTGGGGGTGGGGTGGAGGTTTCCTTCAAAAAACGCAGATCACAGCCTCCTGCTGTCCGATCACTTTCGGTAACTCCCCACTTCCCACGCAGCACTTTCCAAACTGCTCTTGGCGATCGGGAATCAATGAATCATGTCTCTCTAAATGCTCATCCCCCCTGGTTCTCGGAGGCATCCGGGCTGGTCTTCTTGCTGTCTCCCAGCCTCTCGCTGTCTCCCAGCCTCTCTCCCACTCCCGCAGCAGCCCCTCGGCTCGCACGACCTCCTGTGCCGACCGTCCTCCCCGCTGCTTCTCCAGGCGCCCGAGCGGCCAACACTCCAGGCAAGCGCTGTCTTCTCTGTGACCGTCTCCCGTGCGATCCAGGTCCCGCAGCGATTCTGCCCGGCTGCGCAGCCGCACGCACACACAGCCTGCTGTTGCTCAGTAGTGTGCCTTCCTCAGGGCATGAGCTCCCAGAGGGAGGAACACTGTTTTTAAGTTGAGGTGTCTAAGAGCAGAGCGTGACGAGTACTGACGGACACACAGACCCGTGTCGCCAGCCGCCACGACTGTCAGGACGGCCTCTGCGGCCCAGCGTCCTGCCCAACGTGCTCAGGGGCCAGCAGGCTGGGCACAGGCGGGAGTGGGCTGTGGGCACGCCTGGGAGAAGGGCTCTGCAGCGGGGCCTGTCTAAGAGGGGTTGTCACCTGAGGTAGAGGGCAGGGACTAGTCAAACACGGAGGTCAGGGACAGCAGGGACAAGAGGACGATATTTTGTAAGTTTCAGCAGGTCAGGGGTTGTGCAATTTTGTGTGTTTTACAGGCAAGGCTCAGCGACCCACAGGCCGTGGTGGAGGCAGGGCCCTGGGGCGGGGACGCTGGAGCCACTTTGATTTCCAGCGGGAGAGCCGCGCTCTGAGAGACCCCAGGAGGTTAGAGGGTGCGGTCTGGTCCGTGGCGCTTCTGCCAGCGCTGGCAGGCGAGGTGGCTTCTAGGAGTCTCTTACTAAGAACATTGGCTCACAGCCTGCAGCTGACCTGGGTGTTTCGCTGTCCTGTTAGCAAACTGTCCCAGCTCCTGCCCAGGTGGCAGCTGCGTTTGACCGAGACCATGCGAGAAGGCTGATGGGCGGCCCCAGCAGCACACGTGCCTGACAGATGCTCTTGCCTTACGTTCAGATGGCGCTGTCCTGTGTCGGGGATCAGAGGGCTCCAGGGACCTGCTGGCCGCCTGCCTGACTGTCTCTGCGGCATGGGCTGTGCTCTGAGCAGAACACGCATGCCCTTCTCCCTGCCTGGTCTCCTCCATTCCGATGCACGTCTCCTCGAATCCCGCCCTTTCCTTCACGCTCAGCAACAAATCCGTCCTGGAGAGCAGGCCGGCAAGGTAAGGGGCCAGGGAGCCCGGCTGTGAACGCCGGCTCCACCACTCACCCCGCCCCACAGGGGGATCCTGGGCAAGTGCTTCAGGTCTCTGCTGGCAAAGTGGAGACGGCAGGAGCATCTACTCCGCGGCTGTCTGCAGAAGTGACCTCAGCTCGTACAGAGCCCTCAGAGCTGAGCCTGGGTGTGGTAGGTGCTCAGGTAAGTTAGTCAGTCCTGCCTCTGAATCTGCCGTGTCAATCCCACCCGCCCACTCCCACCTGGGTTACGGAAACCACTAGCCTCACCCCTGCTTTGGACTCCGGTGGTCCACAGAGCCGCCACAGTGGGCCTTGAAAACCATAAACCAGATCAAGTCAGTCACTGTTCAAAAGCCCCCACCAGCTTCCCAATTGCAAAAGAAGGCCCGGTTCCCGGCGGCACAGCCCACACCACCCAGGCTGGCCTGGCTTCTGTGGACGGCGCATGACCATAGGCGGCCCTCTCTGCACCGGCTGACCTTGGCGTTCCCTCCCGCTGCTTCTCAGATGCGCCAGCTCACCGGCACCTGCTGTCCCTTCCCAGTGACGCCCTGCAGCCAGCCTGGCATCAGAGCCACTCAGCGCAGGCGGCCCGGCCCTGGGTAGGGGACAGTCGGGAAAGGGCAGGGGCCAAGGTGGCCTGTCCCCGTGGGCCGCATGCCTGCCTTCGAGACGGAACGCCGACAGACGCAGCGCAGCTGGAGCTCGCTGGTGCTGCCGAGCCTCCCGCGGGTCAGACGCCTAGAAACTGGAACAGGTGCTGCTCTGCCATCCGTTGAAGTGACAGTCAATGACAGGAATCAGTTTGTATTTGGTACGACGCCTGAAAGGTCTAGCATACGGATGGCCTGAGAGGTGGAGGGATCTACATGCAGACGAAGGAGAGTAAGTTGCACAAGAGGCCCCCCTCAGAGACTATGACGATTGGAATAACATAGCTGCTTTTGCATTAAAAAGTAAACCTAATTATCCGCATCTTCTCAAACAAACTGGTGTGCTTTCCAGCTGAGACCAGACAGGGCAAGACAGTGTCTTAAAAACCCGCCTGTAAAGGGCTCACGGGAAGCTCCTTCAGGAAGATTCCAGGACGGAGGCTCCACTTCCAGGAAGTCACTGGCCATGTCTCAATCACTCGCTCTGCTGTCCCTGTTCACGGTCCGAACGGGCTTTCCAGCCCTCCACTGTGTCCCGGCCCCAGCGGAGCTGGGAAAATTCAGTTTATGCACTCACGGCCGAGCCGACTTACCAGCTTTTCGGTGAGGAATTACTTAGTGCGAATGAGGGGCGGGGCGGACAGAACGAGTTCCTCGGGAGAACTGAGGAACTGAGCAGATGGGCCAGGAGGGGATAATGGGGACAGGTGCTGCTGCTGCTGCTGCTGCTGCTGCCCCAGGGCCCATTCCTGCAGGGGGAGGAGGTGGGACAGCCAGCCACGTGCACGCCTGGGGACGTTTGTGGTGGCTGGCGCAAACCAGAGTCAGACGGGATTTCTCTTTGAAGTAGTAAGAAAACCAAAACTGACATGACCTGTATCATTACCTTGGCTTAACCGGCACTTGAACATTACACTCTGGTTATCACTTCTCGACACTCATTTCTGCTGTGTCTTAGCTACAACTTATGAGAAAACGGTAGGAGGAAATCCCAGGAAGAAGCACGTTTTCAATTTTCGGTCTTCGGCGTATTTGCCTGCAAACACAGTTGGTTGGCGCCGACACCTCTACTCATCCCGTTTGCGAGAAGCAAACGACTCGCACACGTATCCAGAAGTCGGACGTCTCTTTCCCTTCCACTCCCCCTCCACACTGCAGTTTCTGAGGGCCCCAGGCCAGGCCCCCACCCCCGGGCACTGGCCACGCACCCGCACACACACACGTGCAGGCCCACGAGGAATGGCCTTCTCTGGTGGCTGAACCGAAGGGTTAAAAATTGTAAAGGTCCTTGAAAGATGATCGCATCCACAGTGAAGCATACAGAAAGGATCTTTCAAAACATGGCCACAAGGATGAAAAGTAGGCAAAACATTCGACAAGAAAAAGACAGCTTGAACTGCAGCACACAGAAACCGCAGCTGCAGGATATTCCCGGACCGCAGAGAGAGCAGGTTCCCTCCTCTGGGTGGGTGGGAGTCCAGACGCGTGAAAGGAAACAACAGCCCAGGTTTGCGCATGTGAACCTGGACCCATCCCACTGTCCCTGCCCGGAAGATAACACGGGTCGGGTTTAACCCACTGGGAACTTATTACACGGTACGTGGCACAAGGCTCTGAGGGGCCACGAGGTGAGAGGCATTCTCTCTCAGGCATGGAAGTTCAACGTGCGAAATAATAACGCAGACACCAAGACATGGAAGGTAGTCGCCCGTCCCTTCTCCGGAGCAATGCAAAAGGACCTGGGCTACGTGGAAAAGAGGGAAAGATTAAAGGATGAGGGTGTTCGCTTTCATAAAGAGGAGCGTGTCAGTGAACTTTACAAGAATTACAGTCCGATCGGGCGCATGTTCTGCTGAAGGAAGTGGTGACCAAAGTCGGGGAACTCGTGGCAGAGGGGACGCGGTCGCAGAGCAGAAAGCTCCGTGCCATTCCCTTCAGAGACGTTCCCCGGGAGCCTCGCTCGTACGCACCACGCCGCTGCCTGGGAAACGCTCTTCCAAAAGGCAGAAGGTGTGACTTGGTGACCTGCTGTCGGGCTTGCGTTTCCTGCACGCACCATAGGCTGGCTCTGAGGTTTGCATGTAATTCCCTTTTGAAATTATTTCTAGTTTTAATCCTTTTTAGACATACAAGAAAAATAAACCAGCAACGTGAAGCGATGGCGGAACTCGTCTGGGCAAAAGCCGTTTATGAAGGAAGCAGTGGGGTGGTGCCCGTGCACGCGTGCGAACGAGGGGGCTGCGAGCTCACACGTGCGGATGGACTGAATGCTCACGCGTGTGAGTGAGGGGGCTGTGAGCTCACACGTGCAAACAAGGGGGCTGCGAGCTCACACGTGCAGATGGACTGAATGCTCACACGTGCGACTTTGGGGGCTGTGAGCTCACAGTGCCCGTGGTCAGGGGCAGCCTCCAGCTCACTGAGCACAGGTTAGGGAGCGGGCAGACCACCCCTCCTAACCGCCCTCCTCCCGTTTCGCTTGTCTAGATCCCTTGCCGCAGTGTTAGTGCAAGGAGAGTCCTTTACCAAACGCCTTATCTATGTTCTCTTAAACACAGGCTTGTCGGTGAACCTCACAGGTCACCTGCTTTTCGTGTAAGCTTTCAAAGGCAATGGCTTTCGAAACCAGGGGAGTTTCAGTCTGAGGCAGAACGGACAGATAATTATACTTAAAAAGCCGAGCGTCACCTTCCCTGGTGATGTTTACAATGCATGCAGTACCGTGTAATTAAACACGAGGTTTTTTATGAGGATCCAGTTTGATCACCTATGAAATATGATTTAATGAAACTTGTGCATCTATTTCCCCAAATCCTCAGACTGAGTGAGAAGCCAGACCAGAAAAAGAGCCCATGCTGGCGATTCCTTTTACACATTTCGGTGCTGCACGACGCAAATGGTCTGCAGCGACTGAAAGTGGGCCGGCGGTCCCCTGGGGCCGAGCACAGAGCAGGGGCAGGGGTTCCAAAGGGACCCCCAAAAACTTTTGGGATGCCACAGACCTTGATCTTAATTATGATGGTTTCACAATGGACACCTAAGTCTAAACACATCAAAACTGTATGCGTTAAACACACGCAGTTTATTTTGTGCCAATCATACCTCCGTAAAGCCTTACGGATCTCCAGTCTGGACTGCCGAGTTGCTCCAGCCCAGACGGGCTGCGGTAACAGGACCACGATGCACCGCACACATACGGGTTATTAGGGAGAAAATAAAAACAAGAAAACCACCGACGAGTGATTGGCAGGGGACGGGCCTTTCCTCTGATGCTCTCTACCTGCAGGTTGTGTCCGAGGCAGTTCATGGCTTTAAACTTGGCCAGCAAGGCTGGCAGCCGGCCTCACTGGCGCGGGGCAAACCGCGCGGGGACAGCGGCTCCACGGCCCCTCAGGGTCAAGGGCAGAGACATCTCCTGGGGCTGCGGGGGCTGAGCCTGGAGCGGAGGGAGCAGCGCGGATTGATCGGGGAAGGGGAAGGAAAAGCGGTGACTCAGGACAGGCCAGACAGGCCGGTACCTTCCCAGAGGATGAATACCTACGAGAAGGAGAAAGGTTTTTTGAAAGATAGGCGTTTGGTGTCGAGCGCACTCCCACAGTGCATTGGTCACTGCAGCCACGGTGATATTTTAAAATGACAAAATTGATCCTATTTCTGCTGAAAATTTCACAGAGGCTTCCTACTCGCCCCTGCCTTTAGGAGAGTCCTTGGCAAGGTGGGCGGGGCGTCAGGATGGGGCCCTGGCCCACCCTCCAGCCACAGCCATCTCCCTCCGCCTCCCAGGCCGCGCAGGGCCACTCGGCCGGCCTGCCTGCGGTGCCTGCCCTCGCGCAGGGAAGCCTGTGCGCCTTGCGGGGCTCCCCAGGAAGCAGGCCTGGGCCGGGTAGACGGTCAGGATGTTTATTAGGGAGTGTTCCCGGGAGCAACGCCCGTGGAAGGGAGGGGCGGAAGCGGGAATGGGGAGGGGAGAAATCAAGCCCTGGAGGCCAGCCCAGCCAACCCCCCAGGTGCTGGGAAACCGAAAGACCATCTAGCTGGCCGGACGCGTGACCATGACCGTGGTCGAGGCCCCTCTCCGCAGCTGGGGCGTGGCCCACGGGGGCGGCCGGCGCTGCCAGCCCCCCGGGACTGCACGTCCTTCCTCAGAGGGGTCTGCGTGGGTCGTCCGCAGTCCCCTCACCTCCGGCCTTGCCCAGAGCTCCCCGCTGCAGTCCCCACTCATTCCCGCCCCCCCCCCCCGGCCCTCCGTGTGGCTCTCACTCCGGCTTTTCAAATCCCCAGACAGGGGCTTCCCTAGCAGGCCGCCTGCCCCCATTTCTTCAGTCCGGTCCTTGTCACGATCCTCGTCACACTTCACTGTGCACGGCCACTCATTTCCGTTCCCATTTCCGTTTCCGTTTTCTCGTTGTACGAGAACTCCAGGAGGCCCGAGGAAACTCCCCCAGTGCCCACCTCTGACCCCCAGTGTCTGCACACAGCAGGCACTCAATAAATGCTGACTGAAGGAGTGCCAGCCCGGCTGGAGGAGCACACGGGGCAAAGGCCCTCCCAGCGCAGCTGCCGGGGCGCACGGCGGAATGGGGGCGCCACCACTCCCGGCAGGCCCCGCAGTCAGACGGTCCCGGTCCCGTCCATCCGCCCGCTCGGTCTCGCCGCAGCCATGTGACCCCGGGTGAGCTCCTCTCTCCACGCCTCAGTTTCTTTATCTGTAACAATAACAGTAGCAAGAACAGTACCCTCCTCACAGGGCTGCTGGGCGGGGGTGGCCAATGAAATAACCGACGTGAAAGGTCTATCGTGGCTCCTGGAATAGGAGTAGCAAGGCATCAGGACAAGTTAGCTACAACTGCTGTTGTTATTTGGCTTTTAGCTTTCAGCTCTTAACATAGCTTAAAAAGAGAAAATATCAGGAAAACACTTTTTATGGTGGCTAATTTTTTTAAAGATTTTATTTATTTATTTTTTAGAGAGGGAAGGGAGGGAGAAAGAGAGAGCGTGAGAGACAATCAATGTGCCATTGCTGGGGGCCTGGGGGCCATGGCCTGCAACCCAGGCATGTACCCTGACTGGGAATCGTACATGTGACACTTTGGTTCGCAGCCCGCGCTCAATCCACTGAGCTACGCCAGCCAGGTATGGTGGCTATTAAAAATGCATCAGAATAGAAATCTTAGGAAAAGGAGAGCTTTGTTGGGTTTCCCTACCTTCCCAACCTGGTTTGGGGTGGCTGGGTCCCTGTGCTGCTGTGTGTACACAAGGTGCAGAGCGGCAGTGTCCCCTCCTGACGCCGGGCCGCCTGGGGGTTACATCAGCCCCGCAACGTGGGGGCCACGTGGGGCGTGTAACTCAGCAGTACTCTCCTACGTGCAGCGTGCAAGGCACGCTGGCAGTGTGTGTGGGTGTGCGTGTGAGGAGCATGCTTTTACCTGGGTCTGAAACACCTTTTCCCACCTTGGAAGGTTTCTGCTTGAGCATGAATTGGTTCTTCGGCTCAAAACCGCCTTCCCGGCTTTAGAACCACGCGCGCACCTGGGCCGCTGCTCTAGCCCCTCCGCCCCACGCCTCCCCCTGGACTGTGAGAGCCCGGAAAGCGGGTCTTTTCTACTGTTATTCCTGCTCCTGCTACGACCGCTGCCCCGGTTTTCCCGACCTGCCCTCCCCCACCTGCCCAGCCTCCCCTCCCACTCCCACAGTCCACCCTCACTCGCACTGTCATCCACGCCCGTCGTCTCTGGGACCTGGGGCTTTCAGACGCCCAGGGAGTGTTTGCCGAGCTGACTTGAGCTGGAAGGAAAACGCCAGGTCTGTTTAGAAAGGCACGAGTGGCGAAGAGATTTAGGTAACATCTGCCATGTGCTCACAATGCACAGGAGGATTGAATAAGCTAGAAGTCCGATATTTTCTTCATAAACTGAAACATGACACTCATATCAAGAAAAGTGCCTGAAACGTCAGTGTCCTATACAACGAATTGTCACCAAATGAGCCCCGGGCCCCCGCCAGGGGAAGAACTGGGACGCGCCAGCAGCCCCTCCTGGGTCTCCTCCCGTGTCCCCTCCCGTGTCCGTCTGTGCCTTTTCCTCTGTGGGGAAAGCTTACCTGAGCCTCCAGAGGCTCAGCTCCCCTCCGGGAACACCACAGCTGTCCCCCACTGTCATCACGGGCTGCGTGGCACTGGGCTGATGGTTGGTCGTGCGCCCCAATCTTTCCACGGCACCCACTTTTCACATTCTGTCATCATCTTAAAGAAATACAGTTAGCGCCCCACTTCTGTGCCTGTGACTCTTATCCCCGGGGGCCCCGAGTCCGACTTTGCCTCCTTTCCTGGGTGTGCACGGCCCCCACAGTCTTCTCATCGCCCTGCTCACCGGGGGCTGGGCGCCCCCAGGGCCCCCCCGGCATCCATCACAGGCTTCCCCCCCCGGGTCCCGCAGGAAGTGGGGCTGTGGGGAGCACGCCAGAGAAGTCCCACAGGCGGTGCTTTACCTCATTCAGACGGGGAAGACTCCGAGAACCCGGCACATTCAGACGGGGCCACGATCTGGCAGCAAGAATGACAGTTTAGAGGAAACGACTTCCCTTTCTGGGTGCCCGGGAAGAGGAGGCAGAGAGACTGAAACCACTGTTGGCCTCAACAGCGGGGTCCCCAGTAAAAGCTGTACCCCGGACCCACGTGTCCCGGGGACAGCACCGAGGCAGAGAGCCCGTAAGGCACAACTGACTGTCGGGGTGACAGTTAGTCAGTTTAGAAGGAGGGACATTCATAATGAGAATGACAGGCCATTTATCTGGAAATGTCTCGTCGCTGTATGTGTCACTGAATTTCAGCATTTTCTTTTTTATTATTCTTAACGGTTCTTTCTGTTTCCTTTCAATGTCCTGCCTTTTGAAGAACTGGTGACTTCTGAGACGTGTGATTACCAGACCTTGCAAGGGCTTAGCGTGCTTCTCTGAAGTCTTAGTGAGACGCCTCTAACGGTCCTCGGGACTGGGACGTGCGTTTAAAGCGGTTTGGTGTAAGGGATAAAAAAGGCTGATGGGGAGACGTTAGCGCTGAGAATGCACGGTGGTGACCAGGAAGAGGTTCAGGAGTCTGACAGCGCTCACGAAATTTAACAGCGGTTCAGTCGAATGTCCACGACAGGTGATCCCTCCGTTTAGGAAATACCTCAAAGGTGCTGCTGGCACAACACCCCCCCAACACACACCCCCCGCGGGAGTAGTGATCTTTACACGGCACCTGATCACCGAGGAGTCCTCCCTCGCACAGACTGTGCGCGCTAGAGACGGACTCATCTCCCTCCACCTGCTCACGCCCGCACCTAGCGCGGCCCGCACAGCGGGTGTGGCGGGCCTCCTAGACAGTCACTCCTCGAGTCAGTCTCGCTTTATCTCTCGCATGGCTGCTTCCAAAGTCTCAGTTTCTCTCTCACACGGCTGCTTCCAAGAGCCACAGTGTTTTTACCTTAGAAGAAAAACAGCTCCTAAATCTCCCTTTCTTCACCCTTCCCAGTTCTGTGCCCAAGCCCATGCCCCTCCCCGGTCCCACGCTTCTCCGACAGGTTTGCCCCGCCCACCGACGCCCCGCCCTCAGACCCCTCTGTGCCCGGGAGCCGGGAGGAGCCTCTTCCAGGGCCAGCTCTAGGCCAAGGGCAACGCCACACCTTTCAAATACCTTTCCCCTCCACCGCTGACAGCGCCCGTGTGCGGCTGAGCTGCATTACGATAGCATTTCTACACAGGGGATTAAGGGAGATGAAGTAATGGGCTCTAGGAACTGCTAGGTGCTGGAGCTGGCATTTCAACTCGCCTCCTTCTGACACTAAGCTGTTTTCCCGAGAGCCTCACCTGCTTGCTGGTCAAGTTATCTTACTGCCTTAAAGAAAGCAGGGGAGTGGGGGGAGGGGTGTACAACTGGCTCCCACGCACAGATGTACGTTCCTGGACTCGACACAGAACAAACAGAAACCCTCCCCAGGGTAACCCCTTCCACTTTCCAAGCCTCCTCTACCTCCAGCCCCTCGGGGTGCCGTGCGCCCCCCACAGGCCTGGCCGGCAGAGCCCCCGCAGAGGCTGGGCCTGTCTGGAGCGCGCCGCCCCCCCTCTTCGCCCAACACGCTTCTCCTCAACCTCTGAGGCTGCTGTTAACATCACCCGCGCGGACACTTCCTAGACCCCCCAGGCCGCGTGGCTCGGTCCTCCTGAGCACGTCATGACGAGGACACGCCCTCCATCACGGGGCACCCGGCTCAGGGGGGCCTGCCTGTGCTCCGACTCGTACTGTGGGGTTTTCCCAGCTACAGGCTGTGTGTGTTCAAGCCGGCATCTGTCTGTCTTAGTCGGCTCTGGCTGCTCTGGCGAAAAGCTGGGCGGCTTACGCAACAGAAATCTACTGCTCACAGTCCCGGAGGCTGGGACCCCCCAGGTCAAGGTGCTGGCTGGCTCGGTCGGTCCTGGTGAGAGCCGGGTTTGCAGACGGGCGCCTTGCCTCACGTCGTGGCGACAGGAGATCAGCTCTCACGATTCTTCTCCGATTAGAGTCTCCGCCTCCAGGACCGAAGCACCCCCAAGTCCTCACCTCCAAATACCAGGAGGATTAGGCTCCAGCATAAGGATCTGGGGGGGGGGGGGGGCGTGGCGGAGGGGCGTGGCATGTAGTCATAGCAGTGTCTCTAACACATGGTTTAGGGCAGGGGTGTCCAACTCATTGTCACCGGGGGCCACATCAGCCTGGTGGTTGCCTTCCGAGGGCCGAATGTCATGTCAGGACTGTGTACATGTAGCTGCTCCTCAACAGTTAAGCAAGAGCTCGGCGCTGCCTCCAGGTAAAAACAAGGCGCCGGGCCAGATAAAACAAGGTGGAGGGCTGGATCCGGCCCACGGGCCTTGTGCGTGCCACCTGTGGTTTAGGGTTTTTACCCAGGAAGGATGGGGGGATGCCGAGCTGGGGCTGGAAAATCCAAATTTCCCTGCCTTTTTTTTCTTTAACCTCCAGAAAGCAGCTGAGAAACCAGCTTGGTGATGACAGCTCAGCTGTGTGCTTACATCATTTTCACAACGTAATGGCTTCAAAAGGCCTTTCGTAACATCGTTAAGAAGACACAATTAGCGAAGCCTGGAAACGATCACATCAAAACAGAACTGCGGCAGCAACAGCTAGCCTTTGTCGCTCCGTTACGGTGTCGTAAGAACTGCTCCGCTGGCCTGTAGGAGCGAACCCATCTACTCCTCCCACCAGCACTAAGCAGTTACTACTACTGTGAGCCCGCTTTTGAAATGGAGGACACCGAGGCACAGAGAGCTGCCTTGTGAAGACGCAGAGATCATAAATGGCAGAACAAGAATTCGAACCCGCGTCGTCTGGGTCCAGAGCCACGTTCTGGACCGCTGCAGTGGAGTAAGGGAAATGCATGGGAAGGCAGACGACAGAGAGAGGTCTTTTCAGAAAGGTTCGGTTTCCCATCGCGGCTGTAATGCGCACGGGAAAGGCGCAGACCAGAGAGACCCAGGTACAAGCAGCTGGTCGTGCTCCTTATGACTAAGCCAGGCCGTAGGACAACCTGCAGTGTTTCTACAGAGTGCGGCTGGGCAGGGCTCGTGAGACTGGGAGAGACTGTCAGTCACGTCAGCGCCGACTTCTCAGGGCCGCCTTGGGGTCACCATGGCGCGGGCTTTCGGAACAGGAAAGCACAGGCATCGTTGCAAAAGACGTGACTCTCACCCACAAAGTAATCAGAGCAGATGGCAAACGATAAAATCTTAAGCGACGTGGCTCGGACAATAAATGCGAGTACGGAATAGCAAGTGTACACATGCATTAGTCAAGTTATTGATTTTTAAAAGTAATTTTGAAAACGAAGCTGAGAATTCTTTCCCCCAAACGCTTCCAGAATCATCCCCCTAACTAATTTCATTTTATAAAATGAAATTTCTATTATATAAGATTCCATAGAAATTAAGGAGACCAAAACCCAAAAATGAAACACACAGTTCTAGATAGAATTTTGATTTAAAAAAACAACAACCCAACAAGCTTTGTTCCAGGGTTTGAATGAGATGGAAGGCCGTGAGGAAAACGGCCTCAGGAAGTCAGGACACAATATAAATCAGTCAAACTTTCCACACCTTTCTAGACGCAGGAAACCTTAAAATATCACTCCCTCTGCCTGTGCGCGCAGCCCCGGCAGCTCTGCTCTGGGGGCCTGCGAAATACTTGACAAGGTAGCGATTACACGCTTTATCAAATTAAAGTAACAGCTTACCTATTAACCTTATTGATAAATGTCACTTCCAAGAAGGAGAGCATAGATTATAAAAGACTTAGGAGTTCTTAGCAAAAATCGAATGAAAGGAGAAAACTAGAAGCAAATTAACTAAAGGGAATAAGAAGAAACAAGGAGTTTCCTGGCCATTCAGTAGCAAGAGCTTCCCATGCTCGTTGAAATGATAATTAGCTATGTAGCAGGTTTGCCAGAGGGGGCGGGGACTCCAGGGAGTCTGAGGGGGCGGGGACTCCAGGGGCAAAGGCCAGAGCGGGCTGGCGGCCTCTGGAGAGTTGCTCCTTGCATCACCGCACAGCTGGTGGGAGCTTCCCCGAGATTCTGGAAAGAGACAGGCTTCCAAGAAAGTCCTCAGGCCCGAACACCCTGACAATGCCCACTGACATTATAGCAGACAGGTTCCCTGATCTTTACTCTCCCGGCCCTCCAGATGGCTGTGCAAGCCCCTTCCCAGGAACTTCCGATTGTCAGCTGTGGACTCTGTCTGCACGAGGTGGGGGTGACTATGCGCAGTCCACACTGCTTCGGCAGGGCGCTCAAACCTCACCAGCCACCTCGGCGTAGGTAGCATGGTTAGCCAAGACCAACAAAGTGTCTCATGCACCCAGCAGGCGTTTTGAAACCACCCTTGTCTTGTGCTCACACAACGTGTTCAAACATATGGAACAGGGACTGTAGCATCTTAAAAAGAGGTTTGCACTAAAGGAAGTCTTGAAAACTTCTCATACAAAAAACACATATGAACAGAGCAGGCCCTGCAAAATGAAATATCAGCCGCTTTTAGAGAAAGTAACTCCTCTGCCGGAATCTCCTACAGCGATAACCAAATCGATAGGCCTCAGGCACAGAAGTGTGTCTTGGGTAAACTGTGCCAAATGTTCTCCTGCCCGTCCTATCACACGGGCAAAGGATTACCCGTCTGCGGCTCAAGGGTGGGGTGCTCCCCAGCCGGACACACACTCCATATCCACCCAGCACTGACCGAGAATGCCCACGGTGCCGCGTCCTTGCAGATAGCATGGTGTGGTTTGTTTGTTTTTTCATCCTTTTAGCTAGTAAGAGTTCGATAGCATTCTAAAGAAAGCTGTTTCTCTTGGCCTTGGAGTTATCTGGCATTCATAAGGTTCGTCTTATCGAGGTAAGAAAAAAAATGCGAAAACCAGGAAATACAATATTATTCTTGGTTCTGCGGCTGACTTTTCAATCTGGCCAAATATTTATGTTTTCAGTTAAAAAAAGAAATAGAAAAGAACTGTTAGCCCTGACTCTGTTTCTCAAAATAGTAACATGGAAAAAAGAAGAGCAGAAGAGAGTCTATACATGAGAATCTGTGACCCTGAAAGCGAATATTCCTTTGCTTCTTCCTTGGTTCAGCCTTCATGGAGACCCACCAGGTGCCAGGCAGGTGTAAGGAATCCGGGCTGACCCAAGGACCCCTCCACCTGGGGGGGACACCGCCTAGCAGGCAGGTGACAGTGCATCTCCACCCGTCTTTACCCAGAGCACCTGGGCCACAAGGGTTTCTGCACCAACACTCCTTATAGATTTTAGAAAAGACAATTTACTATCTTACATTTAATGCGACCCCCACCCCACCCCCCAGCAGTGCGCAGGGCAGCCTTGTGTGAGCACACAGCAGTTCTGTAGTGAACCGCAGCCTCGTGAAGAGCTTCGTGTCAGCTCAGGGCGGGTTTTGCTGCCAAATCGGAGCTGGCACCGATCATGAAATAGACTTGAGGTCTTCAGAGCTTTTTGGAGTGTGGAGTCACAGATAAGGGGCCGTGGACTTGAAAGAAGGTGTCCTGTGGTCCGGTCTGCACGTGCTGCCCAGCCCAGGCTGGCAGGGGCAGGGGGGTTGCTGGAGGGAAAAGAGAAGTCGGCTCCTAAGCGCCAACAAGATTTTTAAAAATTGTTGTATCATTGCTCCAGGGAGAGGCTGCAAGAGAGGTTGACGCGGAGATTATCGCCTGACCTTGAACCCTGAGAGACTGCTTTTGAGTGCTCTTCGTTACTGTGTTCCAAGGGGTCAGATACTTAGTGTGCTACCAAGTGAACGAGGACAACGTCATTGTCTGGTCTACTCGCCTCCCTGCTGGTCCCGTAAAACATGGCGGACAGCGTGTCAAAGAGCGGAGTCTTCGTCTCTCACTCAGCGACTTCTTGTCCGTGCTGCAGCTCGGGGTTCTGTGCCTCCTTACACCGCCCGCCTGGTCTCTGGCCCCCACCGGGCTCTGTCCTACCCCACCATACGGAGTTGCTTGTGGCATTCCCATGCCTGAAAACTTTCGAGAGCTCTCCACCAAAAAATAAATATTGTCTCTCCCTCTCTCTCTCTCTCTCTCTCTCTCTCACTCTCTCTCTCTCTCTCTCTCTACATGCCGTAGAGACCAGGACAGCGCCCACAGCTTGCGCACACACTTGGGCAGGGGCACAGTACAGCAAGGTCAAGGGAAGTGGCACACTTGGAGTTGAAGGGCAGGAGGGGAGGTGGGGGACGAGGCAAAGCCCAGGAGAGACTCGAGAAACAGCAGGAGGCAGGCCAGCCGGGGGCTCCCACTGGGGATGCCCCTCGGAACTGAAGTGCGTGGCAAGCAGACCTGGAAGCAGAATCCCTTTAACTCGGGCCTAGAATACAGCAGCCTGTGAGGTATTTGTACAGGAAGAGTCTCTTCCAAAGTTGGCGTTTAGTATTTTTAACATTCCTTTTTCCCCAATCTTGCACAAATTATTTGCACTAGTTTTCAAGGTGAGCTTTACTTAAACAAATGCAAATTCAGGACCTGATCGAGATATTCATTAATCAATCAGAAATAACCACGGAGGTATTCAAAAAGCGACCAGCACACAGGAGACATGTCGAGGTAGTCATTAGAAAATAAAATCAGAGAAATGTGAATCAATATAGTTTTACTATATAGTCTTACCATCTTCTTGGATGTAAAAAAAATTTTTTTACATCCTAGAAGCATATAAAATAGTTCAACAGACATAACTTTAAACTGTTTAAAAGCTTTAGTCCTTAAAAGTTTAGGGCCTTCTCTGGTTCCCACACTGTGATGTATTTACAAATACAAAGTACAAACACCAGCTACTCATTTTTCCGAGCTGGGACCGAGGGCACCAAGTAGGAGCACTTCGGAGAGGGTCGTCTGAGCGACACTGTGGCTCTGCAAACCAGAGGAGCCGCCGAACACACAGCACGCAAAGTCTGCTTCGCTTCTTGTGTCCTGGCCCCAGCTGCGGTCAGGAGGGCGGGGGGGAGAGGAGGCCTCTCCTGCCCCTCTCCCAGTCCCTTCTCCTGCTCCCCTGGGCAGGGGGATGGGCCCCAACTCGGTGGGGGCGCCTTTATTGCCTCTCCTCTCTAAACAAAATGTCCGTCGAGTTGGCAACTTGTCTCAGCAGCAGATTTCTCTTAAAATCAGTTCCATATGGAGCCTCACTTTTCTGAGGTGAGGTTGACATAAACCCTGGCTTGTGAGTCTGGGGGGAAAGAGGAATGAAGTGCCTTCTTTGTGCACACTCGGGACCGCGCTCCTCAAGACAGCCTGTATCTGAGGATGTTAGGGTGCGCTGCAGGGCAGGTTTAATGACGAGGGGAGTGGGGCTCAGAGGTGGGAGAGCTCGTCCACACAGCGGTGCCCAGTTCGGAGGACGTGCAACCCATAGCAGAATCTGGATTCCTGACTCCTTGCACACATGGCATGTTTCCTACCGTGTGTGGTAGGGAGCTCTTTCTTCTCGAATGCACCCACTCACTCGTTCCTGCAGGCATTCCTGCGTCCAGACGCCAGACAACCTATGCCCACGTGGTTGTCAAGTATAAAAAATGCCTAGTGATGACACCAATGACCTTTGGTTGAATGCCTCTTCTACTCTAGGCCCTGTACTGGATGCATGAAATAAAGAGTTACTCCTTCCAGTGTCGCAAGTTCGATTCCCAGCCAGGGTACATGCCTGGGTTGCAGGACATGACCCCCAGCAACCGCACATTGATGTTTCTCTCTCTCTCACTCTCTCTCCCTCCCTCTCTCCCTTCCCTCTCTAAAAAATAAATAAATAAAATATTTAAAAAAAAAGAATTATTCCTTCCAACAAATGAGGAGGCTGATGGGTAAGGAGGTTAGTAACTTTCCCCAGGCCCCGTGTGAGGGGAGGGGCGGGGCTTGGGGTTTGGCGGCTGAACCACCGGGTGTGACACCTTAAATATCACGCAGCCACATTACGTCAGCGTGTAAATGATAAGTAGACACACGGGAATGAGTCGTTCCTGAGACTGAAAACCAGTTCTCCTGTCCCTGTGGGTCAAAGCGCCCCCTCCCCAACCCCGGCAGCCTCCGCGGGCCGAGCCGATCGGCGCTGCTGGGCGTTCCGCACCCACCGCGTGGAGGGAAACCAGCCGCGGGCTGTGGACGGAGCCTGCTTCCCCGATCCACCTAACGCAGGTCGTGTGAACAAGGAGCCTTCGATCCCCAAGTCCTTCCTCTCTGTGTGGTTCCTAAGTATCTCGTGCGTCCGGGAAACGCTTCA